CCCTCCCTGGTGATGTAACAGTTTAGTTAAAACATAGCACTATGGGCCCCCCCTGGTGGCGCAGCGGGTTAAAGCACAGCACTGAGAAGCTTAAGCCACTGCTGCATGAGTTCAATCCTGCCTGCCCCAGAGGTGACCACATGGCGCAGCAGACCTCTCCTAACCCACCCACTGCCCCCCTCAGCAATCTCAGCAATGTACTTCATTGATCTGCCTGTTCTGCTCCCCACTCTGTTTCTGGTGAATCCTCTCACCCTCCACATCTCTGGCCTGTACCCCAGTTCTATATGAATACATAAATCTTAAAAAAAAAAAAAAAAAAAAAAACATAGCACTATGAAGGCAGCCGTAGCCACTTCAGCTCAAATTCAATTGTCCGCCAAGCAAGGAACTGACCCAGATGGTGCAGCAGACCTCTCCTGTCTCACCTGCTGCTCCCTTCAGCAGTGTATTTCAGTAGATCAGCCTGTTCTGCTCCCCACTCTGTCTCTGGTGAATACTCTCATCACCCCTGCACCGCTGGCTTGTACCCCAGTTTTGTATGCATAAATAAATAATTTTTAATTCTATATTTTGATAGAAAGGACATGAGCAAGAGCATCAATATCGAAGGTACTATAAATCCTTTTCTCTGGCTACTCAGCACTGATACTAACTCTGGTCACATTTCTTTAATCTATTTTCGAGAAAAGACTAATTAAGGAAAACAACTTATAAAGAACCGAAAACTATTGATAAAATGCATTCAATTGAGTCACACATTTAGTTAAAACTTAGTCTGCCCTTTGCTCAGCTGAACAATGCTGGGAGACACAAAGAAGATAAGGAAGGGAAATTGCCAGAATTGCCATGGAAACCTAGCCCTGGGTCCTCAGGACCAATAGGGGGCTATCCAGAATTATGGGCAAACAGAACACAGCAGGACACCTCCTGTGTGGGAATGCCCAGTAAAACCTGATGTTCCTGCAGATAACAACTGACAGAGACAGATTCTCCCAGTCGTGGAAAACCACCAAAACAGGTTATAAAAGGGAGCCCCAGTCCTCGCGTCTCCCTGCTGCTTCTCTTAGTAGTGTATTTCAATAAAGCCAACTTTTCTGTTCTTCACTTTGTCTCTGGTGAATTCTTTTCCCTCTACAACTCATCCTACATACCCCCATTTTTCTCCACAATAATTTTTAAGAGGACAAGTGGCTTCAAGATAAGAGTCAAGGGACAAGTTTTCACTTGGCACCAACTGTCACCACTCTGGAACACCCCAGTGATAGCCAAGGGGTGTCACCAGGTTTCTAATGAAACAGGATAAGCCATTGAAAGCTGACTACCAAATAGATCTCAGGGTAGCAGAAGCCTCCAAGACAACAAGACAGGTGACATTTCAATACCATGGACCATAAAACCTAGTCCCTGGTATCTAGATGATATCTGCAAGCAGCCTGGGGCCCAAGGGAGCTGGGTTAAGAGCTGCTTCTCCAGTCAAGAGCACGACACACTAATTCACAGAGATTCTGTTACGCTAACAGAATTAGGACCTCTGCCATTCAGGGATGTTCTTCACTTGTATTACCAAGGCACCTTAAAATCAGATTAGATGAAAATGGTTGAAGTGTAACAGGGTGGTCCCCACGAAAAAGGGAAGTTCCAGGTTCCCTGCCCCACCCAGGGGCAGAAGGGTGGAGAAAAAGGAGAAGAGCAGAGAAAAAGGAGAAGAGAGAAGAAGAGAAGGAAGCTGGACGGAGAACAAGGAGACCTGAGGAAGCCACATGGAGCAGCAAGCATGTGATGAAGAAACCGTGCTTGTTTCCTGACCCTGGATTGGTTAAGGCAGGTGTGGGTGAGATACCTGTAGGG